ACAGACAAGTGCAGGCAAAACACCCATACATGGTGTTTTTTTTTTTTTAAATTAAAGACATATTTGCAAAAAGAAGAACGGATGGGGAGCAATAGATGGAGGCAAATGACGTAGGACCTCTGACCTACACACACACACACACACACACGTATGTGCATGAACACATACACAAACCGAAAAAAGAAGAACATCTGGCAACTGTGTTTCCATTCACCACAGAGCATATGCAGAGCCCACACAGTCTTCAAGTGCTTGCTAGCCAAGGGCACAGCCACTCCCCATTCTGTCCTGGTTGTCTCTGAATCTGGGACTGGATGCTGCGTGCAAAGGGCTGCATATGTGCTTTAAGAGCATATTCTAGGGGCTGGAGAGACGGATCTGTGGTTAGGAGCAATTGCCGCTCTTCAGAATATCCGGGTTCAGTTCTCAGCATCTACATCAGGTGGCTCATAGTAGCCAGGAGATCTAATGCCCTCCTCTGGCATCTGAAGGTACGTGCTCATCCACACGCACATAAAATTAAATAAAGATAAAATAGATCTTTAAAAAAGTACGTGTTAAGCTGAGTGGTGGTGGTGGTGCTCACCTTTAATCCCAGCACTCAGGAGCAGAGGCAGGTGGATCTCTGTGAGTTCGAGGCCAGCCTGGTCTACAGAGAGTGTTACAGGACAGGCTCCAAAGCCACACAACAAAACCTTGTCCCCCAAAACCAACCAACCAAACAGAAGGGGACATGTTAGTAGCTGTCCTTTGAAGAAAGAAAGATTTGTTTTGTGTCCCAGATGTTTGTTAGTGCCGGGTCTCACTGTGGCTGCATCTCAGAGCAGCAAGGGTCTTTTAACTGCCCAGCCATTTCAGATACCTCTTAAAGATTACATTAATTTATTGTATGTGGGTGTGATACAGACCATGTGTGGAGGTCAAAGGACAACTTGTGGGAGTCATTTCTCTCCTTCCGCAGTGTGGGTCCTGGGGATCAGGCTTGGCAACCTCACATTGCACACTGGGTCATCTCGCCAGCACAGTCGTCTACGGTGAAACTTTGTATAAAAAGTAGATTTTAAGAATTTTATTTTATGGCATGAATATTTTTGCATAACATGCATACTTGGTATCTGTGGCGGTCACAGGAAGGCATTCGGCCCCTGGGACCGGAGTTATGAGTGTTGTGAGCCACTGTGTGGGTGCTGGGAATTGAGTCTGTATCCTCTGGAAGAATAGTCAGTGCTCTACACTGCCTGGACTTAAAGAAGAAGTTTGTTCCAATTCAATTATCTTATTTAATATGCTGGCATCCCTGTTTCAGGGTAGGGGACTGAAGTAGAGAGTGTGAGATGGGAAGGCTGCCATCCAATAAAAACACAAACAGGACAAAAGGAATGGGGGCCACAGAGGACATGGTGGAGCCATTGAGATCAGTAACCAGCACGGGACACTTTGTTTATGGCAATCCGGGAAGGCCTCCTGGCGGAAGTGACCTCACAGAGACCTGAATGAAAGGAATGTGAGACTTGTCTGATGAGCAGCTTCCTGGGGGTGGAGCTTGGTTGGAGTCATCTCTGGGGCCTGTCCGAGGACATGGGTGAATTACTCCAAACATGAGGCTGGTCGGCAAGACCCTGCTTACTGTGCTTCAGATCCCAGATGACACAGAGGACTGACATTTCCTGAGTGTGCCAATAGTATGGGATGGGAGCTGTCGGTCACACTCCACGTTCTGATCTTGGAAAACAACACTTCATGGGCTGTGCTGGGAACAGGGACTGTTCCATGTTCATTGTTGTCCATCCTTCCTCTTCTGGGCCTGGCAGTCTCTCTAATTGTTTGGAAGGGGGAAATGTGCTAATTGAGTAAGCGAACACCTTTCTCTATAGCCTTTTTTTCTGCTGAACTCTTTTTTGTTTGTTCATTTGTTTGTTTTTGTTTTTGAGACCAGGCTTCTCTTTAGCTTTGGTGCCTGTCCTGGAACTAGCTCTTGTAGACCAGGCTGGCCTTGAACTCACAAAAATTCAACTGCCTCTGCCTCCTGGGTACTGGGAGGCACCACCGCCTGGCTTCTGATGAACTCTTATTCATCCTTCCAGACCCAAACTAAATTCTCCTCTGCCAAGATATCTGTGCCCCCTTTCTTTAGGTCTGGGCTAAGTCAGTGTGCTCAAACACATTTCCATTTCATCTGACTTCTGTGGAGAGCCCACCCACTTCAGAATAGAAACATTTACCCACAGACCATATCAGCAGGAGGGAATTAATCTCTTTGACAAAACTGTCAGAACCCCTTAACATAAAGCACAGTGTTTCCTAACCCCCACAGGGAGGCTCCTTGGTGAGGTTAGCAGTGAAGACTCTGATGTACCTGGGAGTGGGCATGGGCCCCCAGGAAGGCAGAGACTGTGCCAGGGACCCAAAGTCAGGGTGGTTCCTTCCAGGTCAGGAAGAACTGGTGTTGGGTGAGCCCAAAAATGAGATCTTTGGGAGGGGGAGAGGAAGTGGTTAAAAGACACCTCTGAAAGCTTAGGGGAATGGAGAGTTTGATTTTCCCACTGTGGATGGGGTGGAAGCACAGCCGGATAGAAAAGGAACATGGTGGAAGAGGACCCTTCTCCCAGAGTCTAATGAAGCTGGATAGAAAAGGGACATGGTGGAAGAGGACCCTTCTCCCAGAGTCTAGTGAAGGTTTCTCACTAGCCAAGTGTCAGGGGTTCCAGCTTCTCCCAGGGTCTGCTGAAGGATTCTCACTAGTGAAGCGTCAGGGCTTCCAGCACAGTTAACCGCTGAGTTTGCTGGTTTAGTTCTTGTTGTAAGAGCTATGTTTTTTATTATTTTAAAACCACATATACCTGTGCATGTCTGTAGCTGGGTACATGGATATGAGTGCAGATGCCTGAGGTGGCCAGAGGCATCTGACCCCTTGGGTACTGGGAACCAAATTCAGGGTCCTCTGCAAGAGCAGTACACACTCTTAACCACTGAGCCAACTCTCCAGCCCATATTGTAAAGTTTCGAGTTTCAAGCGTATTGGCATTTTGTCTTCATGGATGTCTGTGCACCACACGTGTGCCCAGAGACAAAGAGAGCATTGCAGGGAACTGGAATTATTGCTGCTCCTGAGCTGCCGGTGAATGCCAGGAGTGGAATCCCCTCTCCTAGCTGAGCCCTCTCTCCAGGCCCTTCTTTCTTTGCTTTCTTTCAATGTTTCTTACATGTACTTATTTTGGGTGTATTCCCACGCGTGTGTGCACAGTATGTGTGATGGTCAGAGGACAGTTTGCCTAGCTGAGCCCTTTCTCCAGGCCCTTCTTTCTTTGCTTTCTTTCAATGTTTCTTACATGTACTTATTTTGGGTGTATTCCCACGCGTGTGTGCACAGTACGTGTGATGGTCAGAGGACAGTTTGCAAGTGTCTGCTCTCTCCTTCCATCTGCGCAAACCACAGAGGTAACTGGTTGGTTCAATATTGCTTTTATTTGAAATATTTTCACATAAGAGCTCTAAAGTCACAATAATCTGGGCCAAAGGGCTGCATGTGTCTGACCTGGGGCCTCCCTCCTCTCCCAAGGACTTCCCCCACAGATGAGCCCCACTGATCTGCTATAGTCCCACCAGCTGCTCCCAGAAGCTACCCTGTGACCTCAGATATAATGGCACCATTATAGGAACATAATCAAACTCCATCGTAAATTCCATTTCTACTGTTGTGAAAACCAATGAAGCAGATTCTCCGTTGAGAAGCCCATAGCCCTGGGGCAGGTGAGATAAGTCAGTGGGGAGAAATCACATACGGGCAAGCCTGACAACCTGGATTCCATCCCTGGGACCCACATGGGGAAGAAGAGAACCAACTCTCACAGACTGTCCTCTGACCCTCTCCCCACACACAACACCTGCACACCTGCACGCACTCACGCAGATAGACACATAAACATAGTAGAAAGGCCATGCCCACGTCTGAGGTGTGGGTTACTTTCTTCTCAAGTGTCTCTCTTTCTTTCACCCCTGTGCTCAAAATCCATGCTTTAAAAATTCATGCAATAAACTCCAACATAGGCCAGTAAATTGCTCAGTGGGTGAAGACATCACCAAGCTGACAACCTGAATTCAACCCCTAAAATACACATGTGGAATGGAAGGACTGGCTCCGGGGTGTCCTCATGTGGACGCATGTGCCCACATACATGTACATAAATAATTTTTTAATTAACAAGGTCTGTCAAGATGGCTCAGTGGGTAAAGGTGTTCCCAGCTGAGTCGGATGACCTGAGTCCAAACTCTGGGACCCACAGGGTAGGAAGAGAAAACCAAATACCTCTGATCTCCATACATGTGCCATGCTGTGTGTACAAACACAAAATAAATGTGATTGAAACAAAACAAACGTGCAACTCCACTGCACACTGGCATGTCATGAAATCCAGTTTTACCTGAACTGAGGTCCCTAAGAGATGAAGGAGTTCTGAGGACGCCGTGGGCGGCAGTGTGGAGCCTCTTCCTTGCTGCTGACTTATATGAAGGCTGCCCTCTGTGCACACACTGGCCCTGATCCCAGACAGAGGCACACACATTGGAGGTTATATCAGGTAGGATTTAATCAGCGCTCACCAGACTGTGTCTACATCTCTGAGGCAATTACCATAAAAATTCATACATGCACCTTCCATCATAGTCTCTACACACATATGTAAGAGGTAGACAATTCATTGCCCCCATATTTCAGACGAGGAAACCAAGACACAGAGAAAGCACCAGGCTTGCCCCAGTCACAAGAAGAGGGAGGTAGAGGAAGCCCAGCTGGATGACTCTGAAAGCTCTCAGAGACTGGAGACTGTCCGCTTCCTTGAGGTTACTAGAAGTTTCTCAGCCATCATTTCCTGCACGTGTGAGCAGAGGACAGGAGTGGGCGAGGGGTGAGGGGAGAGGGCGCATGCTCAAAGGGGTGAGTGGGCATGACAGAAGGAAAGCGGGCGAGGAAGACGGGCGTGAGAGGCTGGTCACATGGAACTAATGACTCTCCGGATCCAGGGCATGTATTTGCAGACATCAGTGTAGACGGCGGGGTGCGGGGTAGCACCACAGGGGTAAATGCCCCACGAGAGGATGCCATGCAGGGTGTTGTCGCACACCAGTGGGCCACCAGAGTCACTCTGAGGAAGTGAGGAAAGAGACATCATGAGGTGAGAGCTGCCACTATTTGGAGGGCAAATGATGGGTTAGGACACAAAAGATGCTGGCATGGGGCTGGAATGATGTCACAAGCTGGGGTGGTAAGGGGATACAGACTTGGGGGTGGCAGCGGAGATGTGATGAGTTTGCAGTTGGAATCGTGACTCATCAGAGGTGAGAAGGACCAAGGATAGGGGTTGGCAGGGTGTGAAATGGATTGAGGGAGGACGTGGGTGGAGAAAGGGGCTACTAAGGAGTAGGGAGGACTGAGGACTGGGGAGGGAAGTGATGGAAGGCAGTCAGCTCCTGCACTATCTGTCTGCCCTCCAGCCAGGACACAGAAATGCTTCCTGACCTGTCCTTACCTGGCAAGAGTCCTGGTTTCTGTCCAGCCCGGCACAAATCATGTTGTTGGTGATTACGCCCGGGTAGAAGACCTCACACTGCTTCCGGCTAAGGAGAGTTACCCTGGAGCAGGTCAGGCTCTTGTTGTACTTCACTAAGAAGAAACGGCCCAGTCAGTCCTTTCCTCCAGATCCGGGAATCCAGTCCCAAGCCTTCCTCCTGCACACCGAGGGGACCTAAACCCACTCCTCCACTCTTAGACCCAGGAGTTCAGACTTCCAGGGTCCTCCCTAAGCCTCTTCCATGAGAATCAGAGTGCCAGCTTCTCTAGAAACCCAGATATCAATTCAGCCCTCCTCCCTAAGGTAGAGTCTTCCCACCCAGTTCTTGCCTCTGCGGGAGGCTGTGGTCCCCCAGCCTGCGACCTGGCACTCCTGCCCTGGCTGGGAGCACTGGAAGGGCAGTTGCACCGGATGCACGTTGGGCGTTATCACGACAGGACTCCTCAACTTCAGCAGCATGAGGTCATGCTCATCTGAGCGGTGGGGCAGGACCGGGCCTGAGCAAGGCTGGTACTTGGGGTGGAAAACGGGGGAATTTGTGGACCGAAGCTGTTCCTTCTGGAAAAGCAGCAGGTGATCATCCCCAATTCGAGCCCTCAGTGGCCTGGGAGAGAAATAGACAGACATAAAACCTTCATGGAGACGGAGCCTGGTCCTTGGGTCAGAGGGTCGGGAGTGACGTGGGGCTCCTGAGACCAGAGAGATCTGGGAGAGGAGCTGGGGCTACTCCCCTGGTACTGAGGCAGAAAGCTGGCGTCTGAACCCCTGGGTCTGATGAAAGAGACTGGAGCACGGACTCCTGGGTATGAGGGAGGAGGGCTGGGACTGAACCTCTGAGTCTGAGCAAGGGAGTAGGACCTTGGGGGTTGAAAGAAAGCTGGTATCTCAACTCGTTGGGTATGCCAGTCTCTCTTTTCTCCGTGTCACCCGGTCATTTCTCCCTGTGTGACAGGCACATGAAGGGACGACAGTGGGTTTTTGGGGGGCGAGGGGAGGGAGATTGTTTTTGTTTTGTCTTAAATACTGACTACAACAGTCCCTGACTTCTGCGGCGCACAGGTGCTATGGGCCCACAGCATCCTCTGGCGGTGCAGCTCCTATCGTGCCTCTTTTGTTGGATGGCTGCCACCCCTAATCTGAGGGAGCTGGGAGAGTGCCTGAGCCCCATCCTCCCCGCCCTCCGTGGCGGCCCCTCGGTGGCTGCCTCTGGGGCGTCCCTTACTTCTTTCTCCAGCAGTGGGCGGCCGTGAGCACCCAGTTCCGGTCGACGAGGACACCCGCGCACTGGAACTGGAGGTTGTGGAAGAGGGAGACCTGCCAGGGTTGTGAGCCACGCGTGCACGGGACGCTAGCCGTCTCAAGGTCCACCTGCGTGGCGTTTCCCGGAAGCAATAACGCCTGCGCGGCTGGGTAGAGAAGCGGGGGATGAGGGCTCACCTGCCCGGGGTTGGGTACCGGGTCAGTGCCGAGTTTTACCAGATTGGTCTGCAGGGGGCGCAGCTGGATCGTGAACAGTGGGAGAATTACGGAATCCAGAGGCGTGAAAGCGCAGGAGGGGTTATAATGGAATGGGACGACAACACCTCTGGGCTGAGGATGGAGGGAGAAGGTCTGGGGGAAGACGGTGTGTAGGAAAGGCTGGGCTCTAGCCTAGGGGGCAGAGACCAGATGCAGACCTAAGGGGATGGGGGGGGGGTGCAGAGAGGGGCATGAACGGGACTCAGAGGGGTAAGGACAGAATACAGTGGGGCAGTAAAGGGAAGAAGAAACACAATGGAGTAGTGAGGAGCAGAGACAGAGTTCAGTCCAGCTGTGAGCAGCTGGAGCCAGGAAGGAGCAGGAGACAGGACACACAGTAGGGGCAGTGAGGATCAGGAGACAGGACACACAGTAGGAGCAGTGAGGATCAGGAGACAGGACACACAGTAGGGGCAGTGAAGATCAGGAGACAGGACACACAGTAGGAGCAGTGAGGAGCAGGAGACAGGACACAGTAGGGGCAGTGAGGAGCAAGAGACAGGAACACGGTAGGGGTAGTGAGGAGCTGGAGACAGGACACACAGTAGGGGCAGTGAGGATCAGGAGACAGGACACACAGTAGGAGCAGTGAGGAGCAGGAGACAGGGACACAGAGGGACAGTAAAGGGACTGGGAGATAAGGGACTGCGTGAAGCACTAGGCAGGTGGGGAAGGATCTGCAGGAGGGAAGGGAAGGGAAGGGAAGGGAAGGGGAAGAAGGAGGGCTCTGCGCTGCACAGCAGACTAGACTGTAGGACTCGGTTAGGAAAAGGCAGGGGCAGAATGGGTCCGCAGGGGGTGCGAAGGCATGCAAAGCAGGAGAGGAGAAGCTGATGGAGCCAAGGGGCTGGGTTCTGTTCCAGGGAGGCGCGGCCCCTGGGGACAGAGCCTACCCAAGAGTGGATCTTGCTTGGGATGGCTATGTGGGTGCTGGGGTGGGGGGACTCTAGGAGGGAGGGCTGAGTATGGTTGTAGCGGCCACACTCCCTCCTCCTCCCGTCCTGGCCCTTCCCTCCCGTCGCCCGGGCCCCAGGCTCACCCCAGAGTTGCACCATCAGTAGCGGCAGCAGCAGCTTCACTAGGGCCAAGGCACCAGAGGAGGTGGGGAAGTAGAGGAGTGGGACACTCATGGCTGACACCTGGCTTGCCGATGCCGGTCGGAATGGAGGGCTAAAACGGATGTTCCCCGTCGAGACCCCTGCTTCAGCACGCCTGGGATACCTCAGCAGGGCCTCTCCAGGGACCCTCAGGACTTCAGTCCTTGCTCGTCCAGAAGGGGGCGATTTGTGCACCCAGTCTTTCTTTGCCACCAGCCACGCTCCTTCGTATGTGTGTGTGTTGGGGGGGGGGGTCCTGCTGAAAGCCCGTGGGGGCCTCTTCCTAACCTCAGAGCCTAGGGATTTCCCCATGTTACAGGGATATCGAGGCTACAAAAGGGTTGCTGCCCGTTGCCCAGGGTCCCCACCCATCCTCTCGCCAACCACCCCAACCAGGGTGGGGTACATCCCGCTTCACCTGGAAGTCGCCAGTGAGAAGGAGGGAGGAGACTCTGAAGTGTCTCTTGCCCTGCAGTGTGGGCTGCAAACAGAGCTCTGACCAGGGACCCCTGGCCAGACCTTCCCTTTTAACCCCCAAGATCCCGGAAGCTTTCCCCACCCTCCCCTCAGGGATTCACTCCCTCTCTTTCCCTCTCCCTAATTATAACGTGGGTGGGGCTGGCACTCAACCAGGGCCCCAGATTCCTGCTCCGGGAGGGGCCCTGGAATACAGGCTTCTGCTGGTGACAGGAACACCTTTTGGAGCTGGCTTCCTTGGGGGTTCCCCATGCCCTGTTCTGAGAAGTGTTCCCAGGTGTGGTGGGAGAAGGGGAGGTCAAGTCTTCTGGGAGCCTGGGGTGATGGAATGGTGAGTGAGGGCGCGGGGAGGGTGGGAGGGCACGGGGGGGGGGGCTTTTCAGGTCGTGGAAGGCAAGAGAGGGAAGGACATAGAGAAACTCCCAAGGTCTAAACCAAGAAACAGTAGGCTCCTTGTGTCTCAGCATGTGTTTAGGCGGGTGGGGTGGGAGTCTGTAGCTTTGCGCTAAACCTGTGTGAGCATCTTGCATCCTCCCTGCATGTCTCTAGGTGCCACGCAAGCTGGTGAATCACAGGAGGCCCAGGCTGCAAGGGGCAGGCCACATCACTTCAGCTAACACCCTCATTTTGGGTGAGGAATGGGAGGCTCAGAGAGGGTTGTGACTCATCAGAGGTCACACAGCAAGCAAGTCCGCCTAACAACCAGAAGATTCTATCTAGTTCCAGCTCTGAGTCCTTCCTTGTGCCAGCGATCTCTCTCCAAGAGCTGGACAGAACGTCTGTGTTACCTGGGGAATCTCGTGCCTGGCTCAGCCCCGTCCAGAGCTTTTGCTACAGCGGCTACGGAGCCTTAGAAACATGTCAAAGGTGCTAGGAATTTCCGTTCTGCTTTCAGGTCCTTTCACTGCAGATACCAATCAAATCTGACCTCAGTGAACTGAATCCGGACAGTTTGAAAATGACGGCAGCCTTCTTTCTACCTCTTCCTCCACGCATGCAGACACGCTCACTGCTATTGCACTTGCTCATGTGCAATTTCCCATGGAGGATGAGGAACTGAAAGCCGTGAAGGAGCTGAATTGAGTTCTTTCTGCCTGGCCTGCAAGATGGCTTGGTGGGTAAGGGCACTTGCTGCCAGCCCGATTGGACCCTACGTGGTGAAGGAGAGAACTGACTTTACAAGTTGCACACTTCCGCATGTGTGCCGTGGCATGAGCACCCCCTCCACGAATGAGTAAATGTAAAAATAAAAATTTAAGTAACATAAAAAGAAAATGGACTAAGCTGTAAGGTGGCATCGCCCTGAAAGTTAAGACTGTCACGGGGCTTTTAAATTCTCCAGTCTTTCACTTCTCTGGCTGTGACAAATGTCTTCATCTATTTTTCTTGTCAACAGAAAATAGGACCAGTCTCCTGGGGGCGGGGGGGGGGGGTTGAGCATTTAGTTGGTTAGTAACATTTACAGGCTCTGGAGGGCTGAAGAGACAGCTCAGCAGTTCAGAGGACTTGCTGCCCTTGCCGGGGCCCCAGGTTTGGTTCCCAGCACCCATATGGTGGCCAGGGGACCAGATGCCCTCTTCGGGACTTCTCAGGCACCAAGCAGGCATGTGGTGCACGTAGAAATATGCAGGCAAAGACTCAACACACATAAATCACTGAAAAGCCGTCTGGATCAGGATCCGAATGCAGATGACATTGAATTCGAACCATTTTATCATTTAACAAATATTTATTGAAACCCTGGGATAAGCCAGGACTTTAGGACTGGGGACAAAACAACAACAACGACAAAACAACCAAACAAAGCCACTGATGATCGTATTAGGAGTCACAACTTAGGTCAAGGGAGAATTTGTTCCAAGTCCCAAGTTGATCATCAGGTCAGAGCATTTCCTATATATATCCACGGTGGGTAGAAGAGAGTACACGCAAGGGTCCTAACTGAGGGCTTCTTAGGGAGGAATGAACGGAAGTCAAAGCATTAAGAAGAGATGGGAGGGGTGGGTGGTGACAAGCAGGTCCCCTTTAGTTGTTTCTCATAGTCTCGTGGATCCAGTCAATATATTTGCAGACTTTTGTATAGACACCAGGCTTTCTGGTGACTGCACACGGGTCCTGACCCCAGGAGATGATGCCTTGAAGAGATCCATCACAGACCAGAGGGCCTCCAGAGTCGCCCTGGCATGAGAGGAGACACAATGAGTAAAAGTCAAGGGGGGGGGGCTTCTGATGGGAGTGAGGACAGTGGTGGAGGTGGGAAGTAGGCGAAGGAAGAATTCAACAGTGGTGGGATGGGAGATGAAACTGGGATTCTGGGTGAGAAAAAATATATAAACATATTTATAATTTATATATAAATGTATACATATTCATATATTTATATGTGTATATCTATACACATATACATACATACATATACACATATATACATACATACACATATATGTCAGGTTAGGGGCCAGAGAAACTTGATGGGTGGTTGGAGTTTAATGAGGGTAGGCATGGACAGACAGCAATTGTGTTGACATCAGAAATGGCAGCTGGGTTGGGGCTGATTGGGGTTAGGGTATGCCCATAAAAATATGAGTGAGGCTGGGGATGGGGATGTGGCTGGAGACCCAGCCCCTGCCCGCTTACCTGGCAGGAGTCCTTGCCCTCCTTCCGAACACTGGCACACAGCATGGTCTCTGTGATGTTGCCTGGGTAGGCGCTCTCACACTCCTTGTGTTTGATGATGGAGACGTTGGCACATCGCAAGGAATGAGGCAGGCGCACTGAGGGAACAGCAGTGGAGGGTGAGCAGTGAGCACCCGATTCTCCAGCCCCACCACAGCAGCCAACACCATCTCTATGCTTGTGACTATAGCAACAGCCACGCTATGAATAAATTCTTTATACTGCTTGCTCTCTACGCATTATCTCTGACCCCACTGTGATAGGTGGGTATGATTATTCTTTTTATGGAGAAAACCAAAGTCAGAGAGGTAACGCCATTTGCCTTAGATCCCATAACTAGAAAGTTACGGTTTGGGAATCACACCTGTCTCACTCTTGAGGCCCCAACGTGAGACTCCCAGAATTTCCCTTTCCCTCTCTTGATAGCCTTTGAGTGACTCTGGTCTTTATCTCTGATGATTCATCTGGTCTCCATTCCCCACATCCCATCCTCCACCCCGATCATGTTTTCCCCAGGAGCCCCTACACTGGGGGCTGGACGTGGTGCCCCATCCGGAAATGAGGCAGCTGGTGCCCGCAGTGACGCAGTGTGAGGACAGGGTGAGTGGCCGCACAGCCCGGGTAACAACGGCAGGGGATGACATCTTCACCAGCATGATGTCGTTCCGGTGGTCTTTGTTGGGGAGGCTGTTGTTGAAGCCGGGGTGAGGGAAGGACTCGGTGGCCGTCCGCTTCTGCTCATAGCCATCCGTCTTCTCCAGATTGTGTTCTCCAAGGAGGACCAGGTAATGGCTGAGGTGGGAGAGGCGTGGTCAGAGGTGGGAAGGTAGGAGGACAGGGCAGGGGTGGGGAGGGAGAGATGAACACTCAGCCCCACCTCACTCCCAGCATCACTCACCCCTCCATTGTTATCCTGACCAGACTAACATCACCCACACTAAGGCCACCTTATCCCTCTGTCATCAACCCAACTAGATCTTCACTGGACAACCTAACCCCACTCCACCCCCACCCCTCCATCTCCAGTCCCATAGATCCGTGTGTGCGCGCACGCGCGCGCGCACACACACACACACACACACACACACACACGGTCTTGATCACACTCAGCATCCACGCTAATGCACACCATCCCCAATCCATAGATACACACACACACACAGTCTTGATCACACTCAGCATCCACGCTAATGCACACCATCCCTAATCCCTTCACCAGCTACCGCCACCCCCATGTACTCTCTAACCCAGCCCCTCTCCATCCATCTCTCCATCTCCAGCCCCCTCCCAGCCCCGCCCCAGCCCCCGCACCCACGGCTTGCGGCAGTGGGCTGCTGTCAGGAGCCATTTGGGGGCGATGAGGGTTGCCCCACAGAGAAGTCGTGTCTTCTGAAAGAGGGCCACCTGCCATGGCTGGGAATGAGGGGTGCACTCGTAACCCTTGATGATCCTCGTCTCTCCCCCTACATGCCCTGAAGGGGGCAAAAGATGAGGTGTAAGCATAAAAGGAGGTAAGCTGGTAGAGGAACCCCCAGAAATGAGGGTGGGGAAGAGCAAAAGTCTTAGTTGACATGTGCAGACCTAAGACTGTGCTTCTAGGTCATTAGAGCTAGAGCTTTTCAAGTGACCCGGCTCCCCTCCTCCTCTTCTGAGACCCACTTCACCAGGTCTGGTGTAGCTCAGACCAGCTCACAGAGACCTCCACCTAGGTTTCAGAGGGAGGGGACTTGGAGGAGGAGAGGGGAGCCCCACATGTCCCCCTAAGCCCCACCGTACCTGTCACCAGAGCAAGTGCGATGAACCGCAGAATCGTCATGGCCCGAAGCAGAGCAGGATGGGCTCCAGGATCCCCTGGGGACAAGGAGGAAGGCCTAATCACTTTAACAGGAGATCGGAAGGCTGGCTTGTGGCTCTGCTTCTCGACTAGCTGCCTTCTTCTCCCAAGGGAGCCTCCTGATTCTCACACCACCCCCAAAGCTGTAAGAAGAAGCTTAAGCTTCTAGAGAGCCCTTGGCCACGGACTGGGATCCTGGCTGGCAGCTTCCTGGGTGTCGAGGAGAATAGCAAAGCGACTGGGAGGGGCTCTGCTGGGCAGGGTTCTGGGCTCACTTGGTTTAGGTTGCCAGTGTAGGAGGAAGCCCCCTAGGGAAATCTCAGAGAATATTTCTCTTCTCACTCACCTGGGAACCTGGCTTGCTCCACACCTCCGAGTGATGGGAGGACAAAAGGAAAAAGGTCAGCCACTGGGTAAGGACCTCATTTTGGTAATCCCAACAGCAGTTCTAGGGGCCTGTGGGGTCTTTCTGCTATTGATGAAGTCCCTCTCTCCACCTTGCTGAACCCCTGTGAAGGACAGCTGGACAGGGCTGGGTAGAGTTGGCTAAGTGGCAGCCAGTGCCTATGGCTGCCCTGGCTGGTGGGGGTGGGAGAGAAGGGCAGGACTCGGCCACCTAAATTGGGGACAGAGGTCATGGAGTTTGGGGGCAGCAGTTTGATGGTGAGAGATACAGAGAGATGCAGAGAGTGGTCTCGAGTTCTTCCCCATCCTCCAAAGACAGACCATGGAAATGCATGCTGGGACAGAAGAGGCCTAGCTTCTAGGATGGCAGTCTCTTGGAATGGGTTGGGCAGGGGGTGGGGGGAGCCATCCCTTCCCTCCTGACTCACTCATGGGCTCTGAGGATAGGGCTCTAAAGAGGCCAGAGGTGTCAGCTGCAGCAGGTTGGGTCTGAGCAGCAGGCAGTCAGGCAGGCAGGGAGGGGGTTGGCCCCAGGCAGGCCCAGGATGACTGGGCTCCTAGCCCTGCTTTATCGCCCTGGGGAAGGGGTGTGTGTGTGTGTGTGTGTGTGTGTCCCCTCCCAAGGCAGCCTTGGGGTCTGGGAGACAGACCATCGCTCCTCAGTGGCTACGTCTCCTTTCCAGCAATTCCCAAGTCTCAGGGCCTCCCTGCCCCCTCTCCTTTCCTATAAAACTGTGTATGATTTTAGTTTCTCTGCCACTAGGTTTCCGCCCCTGCATGTCTTTGGATCTTTGTCTCCTCTTGTCTCAGCTCTTTGTCCTGTCCCATCCCTCTCTAGATCTCTGTCTGCCTGTCTCTGTCTCCTCTCCAAGGCCTCCATTTCTGCCTCTCCTCCTGCGGGCCTCTCCTTTCTCCCAGCCTGGGCCCAGTGGGGTCCTTGGCCTCCCTTGTCCTTTCCAAAGAGAGAAGGGGGGAATCTGGGGCGTCACAGAGTAGGGGCTGCTTGCCAGGTGAAGGAGCAAGACAGATGGTGGGGGAGGCAGATCAGGGCCTGTGACAGCCGTGGCTCAAGAAGGGAGGAAGAAACCTCAGCAGGTGTGCCAGGGGCCCTGGGCTCCTGTGTGGGCCTCCGTTCCCTACTGACCCTTCCCTCCTCTCCCCAGCCTCCACTGCCCAGGCCTCCAGCACTTACTGGGCACTGTAGAAAATCTCCAGTCACTCTTCAGCCTCCTGGGCCTCCTCATTGGATAGCCCCAAGTTTGAAGCCTCGCTTCTCCCAGCTTATGTTTTCATTCAGATCTTTCTTTCCTGGGCCTTCCTCTCCTCTCTCCCCTAACCAGATGTGGGGCAAGGCGGAGTAGGCCCAGGCTCTGCCGGCAGCCAACCCAGCCAACCACCGTGGCCTCAAACCCTACGGGCTCAGCCTCTTCCTACCCAGGTGACGTTGACGGGCGGCCCCACCCAGGGAAGTTCAGCTCCCTAATCTGTGGCATGGGGGTGCAGGCCCTGCCTTGGGGTGGAGTGGGGGATCAAATGCCAAGAGGATGCTGGGAAAGGCCACCCCTGTGCTTTTCGATCAGCACAGCAGCTCCCCTCTTTGGCATTTTTGAGCAAGGCCTTCGTTTCTGCCTCCTGAAGAGAATGTGGAGACAGCACCTATGGGCGGGCACTGTGCTGCTTCAGCTGGGTCGTCTTGTCCCCAGAGCCAGCCTGGACCATCTCTGACATAGTGAGGCAGACTGGCATTCCGCTCTCGATATGGTGCAGTGAGGCTAACACACCACCCCCACGATGGTCATTAGAAAGCTAGAAACGGGGACTAGAGAAATGGTTCCGTGGTTAAGAGCACTGGCTACTCTTCCTAAAGGATCTTGGTTCGATTCCCAGCAACCACACAGTGACTCACAGCTGTGTGTAACTTCAGTTCCAGGGGATCCAATGTCTTCTGGCTTCAGTGGGCACCAGGCATACAGATGGTGCACAGACATACATGCAGAAAAATACCCGTAACCGTAAGATAAAGAAGATAATAATTTAAAAATTAAGACCAAAAGCTTTGATTTTTGAAACAGATTCTCACTATGTAGCTCTGTCTGGCCTAGAGCTCACTCTGTAGACCATGCTGGCCTCAAACTCAGAAAGCTGCCTGCCAAGGGCAGGGACTAAAGACTCCACCATCAGGCCTGGCCTGTTTGCTTTTGAGACAGGGTCTCATGAAAACCAGAATGGCCTCAAACTTACAGTGTGTTCCAGGATGACCTTGAACTTATCTTCTTCATCTCTTTCTCCTGAGAGTCAAGCGTACAGACCTCTGCAACCAAGCCCAGCAAAAACTCCCACCCTTCCTGGTTTCCTCCAGGCTTAAACGGTACATTAAACAGACAGGTGTAGCCCCTTCCCTCGATTGCATAACGTTTATTCCAGGGTTCCTCAGCCTTTGCTCCACCATCGGGCTCTCGGAAGGATCTCTACACCAACGAGGGTGGGACTTGGAGTGGTGAGAGAGGAGACACGGGTGTCAGAGGGTCAGAGGCCCCTGGGCAGAACCACGTGGTTCTGTTAATTGTTCTTCATGACCTTTCTGATCCAGGGCACGTATTTGCAGACCTTGGTATAGACCCCTGGAATGCCTTTTTGTCCGCAAGGCCCAACAGATCCCCAGGAAACCAGACCTTGAAGAACCCCTCTACACACCAGGGGGCCTCCAGAGTCACCCTAGAAGACAGAAGCGAGACAGCTACGTCAAGAAGAGGCTCCAAGCCACGTCCTGGGAAGGGAGCACGCATAGTTCACAGGAAGAACACTGTAACAGCTAGCCAATAGGAAGGAAGATGCCACCTCACTGGGGCCAATAGGCTCAACCCCAGAAAAGGGGGGCGGGCTAGAGTTTGAGAATAGAGTGCTCTGAGGGGGTGGTTGGTCTCTGAGCACTATGATACAGTGGCCTCCTCTGAGGTGCCCTGAGATCTCTGGGCACTATGATACAGTGGCCTCCTAAGGATGCCGTGTCACGCCGCACATTGACACAGCTGGTTTTGTGACCTTCTTTTCCCAACCCCCCTCTCTTTAAACATGGGGTAACCCCAGCTGCTTGATGGTGTGGAGAAAGCCTTGGGGTGCCAGCAAAGGGGCCCTGACAGACCCCATCCTCGCTAGTTCTCTGTTCGCTACAGCCTGACTGTTTTACCCTCCTTTACAGCCTCCTGCTCCTCCATTCTGGGCTCCTCCCTCCTATCCCCTGTCTCTTCCTCTTTTAGGCTGTCTCCTCTCCTTTTTAGTCCCGTCTCTTCCACAGCCCGTGTCTGGGGCTTTGCCTACTTTTCCTCACTTCTGTAGAATGAAGTCAGAATCCAGCTGCGGCTCAAGCCTCCTCTTCCCCTCTCACAGACAACAACAGGCATTCTACAAAGATACTGACTTCTAGGCCCTGGCTAGCAGAGTTCCAGGTCCCAGGATCCCTCGCCTGGAAGTCCAAGTGAGTATTGGTGGCCATACATGCGTCTGCTGCCCTGCCCTCCCCTGCCTCCTGCCTGGGTACCAGAGAGCCTGGCTGTAGGGGCTTACTGTGAAACCTTTCCCACTCTCAAAAAAGATAAAAAAAAAAAAAAAAAAGAACACCCTCTTCTTTTGCCATGTGGACTCTGGTTCCTCCTCAGAGTCCCATCATGCTCTCTGTCTCCTGTGCTCAGAGCCCCTGCCATGTTGTTGCCTCTCTGTCTGTTTATGGCATTAAGAACTCTACTAAAAACTCCATACTCTGCCTCCAGTCTGCCTCAGTGTCCCTCCTGAGCCACCCCCCAAACCATTCATCTTCCTTCCTTTCTCCATCACCTACTTTCTGTCCCCAATGGTCAACATCACCCTGAGTTGATTCACCTGGCAGGCGTCCTTCCCGGCTTCACCACCTGCACACACCATATTATCTGTCACTCTTCCAGGGAACACGGCTTGGCATGTGGCATTGGAGACAATGGAGAGGTCGAGGCATTGCAGCCGGTCTGGGAACGGGTCTGGGGATAGAGATGGGTGATGTAGACCCTCTGAGATCCCTATCTTGAGGCTGCATTCGTCCCAAGGACATTTGATCCAAACTAGGCCTCCACCCAACCTCACTACCATCCTAAACATTCTCGGTTTCATGGAAGAGCACTGTGGTGACCCTATCCCCAGGCCAAGGCCTGGTCCTTTGACCTCATCACTTCTTGAACCCAGTCTCACTTCTTATCTTCCACCTCCTGAACACATTAACCTCCGACCCCAGTTCCACAGCTTCCAAATTTTCGCCTACTTCATCTCAAAAAAAAAAAAAAGTCTTCTGATTTCAGAACATTTGACCCCAGATTCCTACAACCCTATGACTCCCTAATGTGACATGAGAAAGATTCCGATCAGACTGTGATTCAGCGACCTCAGCTTCCCATCCCTGGTAGAAACAGAACCTAGGACCTTGGGGTTCCACCACTGAGTCACATCTACAGACATTGTTATCTTAATTTGAGACAGGCTCCTGTTCTGTAAGAGAGAGTGGCCTTGAACTTTCTCCCCTCTTACTGTAGCCTCCAGAGGACCTGGGATTAGAGGCCTAGCAGGTACCAGCTCTGTTATGACCTCTGACACCCAAGCCCATGGGTCAGATGTCCTGATAACCCCTGGCAATTACTCTGACCTCTGACCCCTGGCCTCTGACTCCCACCTACCATGACTTTTGCCCCTGGTGTTTAACCCCATCACCATGCTCTGAAGTGAACGACTTGACCTCTTACCCTATACTCCTTATCCCCAACCTCAGGACCCTCTTACCCCATGGCTTGTTTGTGATACCCCATCCTGAAATATGACACTTGGTCCCCATAGGTGCACAGGAAGTGGGCAGGGCCAGGGGCCGGACAGCATGGGTCAGGCGGACGGGTCTGCCCAGTCGCAGGAGTCGAAGATCATGCTCGTGGTTCTGATGGACACCCTTGTAGCTGGGGTGTGTCATGGAGAAGGTGGTGAGCCTCAGCTGCTCTGTCCAATCCAGTCTGGTGAGGCTGTGCTCCCCAAGGCGCACCAAGTACCTGAGGGTGCAGTTGGTCAGTGGGTGGCAGATAGGCCACCCCTTACCTGTCTCTGTCTGTATCTTTCTCTCGCCATAGGTTTCTGTACCCCATCACCTAAGCATGTTGGGTTAATCTTCTACTTCATGGTCTCTCTCCACTGCTCTTTCACAGCTGGGGTCATGGGGCAGGGATGTCGTCTGCTATACCAGCTGCCATATTTGTCCCCATAGCCCATACCAGCAATGTTACCAGGGCTGCTGACTGAGCAATGAGTAAGGGGTACACCTGTCCTGCATGGAGCCTCTTGGTCCCTTGACACCCGGCTCCTCTTTCACAGCAAAGTCTAGACCTAGAAAATGGATCATCTGGGATCTGCGGAGATGGCTCAGGGTGCTGGTTAGTGTCTGTCAGAGTAGTGGAATAATGGGCCCAAAGGAATGGGAATGCCCCCTTAGGAATCTCATGCTGGGGAAAGGTGCCAACCAGAGGGTGACTTGTCAGACACCTGACGGTTGAGGCCCGGACAGCCATGGGTCAATGGCGGTCAGCACATCTTGGACGGCTTAGATATGCATATCGCTAGCCCCTATCTGCACTTGAGTCTCACGTCAGGAGCCTGAGATGGACTGGAGGGCTCACTGGCCTATTTACCTCTTCCTGATGGGGCCACCGTGAATAAATCTCTTTTCTGTTGTTAATTTGTCTGTTTTAATTGGCTTCTCACGTAAGGGTGGCTGAACTTGGCTTCTTGGGGTACAGTTTGTGACTCAAGTTTAGTGACACCCTGAGTCTAACTGGGGTCAGGAGATGCCCGAGGCTGTATGGGAAAGGAGGAGGAAATGGGAGAGGAACAGAGGCACCATCCCAGGTCCTCCACGCCCTGCACACCTCATCCCACCTGGCAGCTCCAGGCCCACTTCAGGAAGTTCTTCTGCACCTCTAACCCGAAGCTGAAGCTGACTGACTCCTCCTAGCCTGTGACACCTGACACCATCAAGGGAGACCTACTCTCCCTCCGGCACCCTGCTTTGCTCTCCCTGAGGCCCCCCCGCCCCGGGGGAGGCTTACTTGCCACCGCAGTGGGCAGCTGTAAGGACCCACTTGCGATCCACAAGGACGCCACCACAGCGCAGGTATTTGCCATGGAACAGCCCCACCTGCCAAGGCTGTGAGTTCTTCACACACTCAGCACCATTAAAGATCTTCAGGCTGTCAGCCTGACTGAGACCTGAGGTCAGGGGTAGGCCAGAGAAATGGGGTTAGACATGAAGATTGTGGGTGGGAGGAGGCGAGGAGGCAGCGCTGAGTGTGTGTGAGGCTGCATCCCTGTCATCTCAGCTCTCTGGAGGCTGAGGCCGGTGTGTGTGGGGGTCTGTCACAGGCTTCAGAAAAACAAAAAAACAAGAAAATGGGAGATGAAGAAGAGAGAGCTGGTCGGTGCCACAGACCTACCCATGCAGCGAGACACCAAAGCAGGCTTGGCTTCTTCCCCCATCCTCAGTACCAGGTTTGGGGTGGGGGATGCATAGGACTTTACCATGAGGGAAGGAAAGGCCACCACTCTTCCCCCGCATCTCCCCACCCCACCCTGGCTCAGAAAACTCACCCACAACACACAGGAACAAGAAGATGCTGAGCCTCATGGTGGGCTGCGTCCAAGGTCTGCCAGGAAAGGTGGGGTATCTGAACTCACCCCGTCCGTGCTCCCACCTCTGCCCCCTCTTCTGCCCCCTTTTCCCCAGGCCACTCCCTCACTGCCTTCATCTGACCCCTCCTCACCTGTTTGCCAGTCTCTCCTTCTCCTCCGCTGTCTCCCTGTTCACCTGCCTGTCTGCCCTTCCATCTGCCGGTCAGCTCTCCTAGTGTCCACCTGTTGCGCATGATGCCCCACCTGATACCTCAGCCTCAGCTCCTCCAATTTCCGTGTGGTGTGGGGTGGAAGAGGATGAGGAAGACAGGACAGGGCAGGGCATGGTTCTAATCCAGAAGAAATTCTCTTCAGGTAATGACACTTAATTGAGCTTCACCGCTCCATGAAGACCCAGCCCCAGCCCCCACCCCCACTCTTCAACCGGCCAAGGGGATGGGCCCAGGGGACAATGACTCAAGGTGTCTGTGGGACTGAATTCTAATCCGCACTCCAGGGAAGAATGAGCCTTAAGGGTGGGGCCCTAGAACACCTTGAGCTGGGAAGGGCAGAGGAAAGAGGTTGGGGACAAGGGAGTGGCCTGAGGGCTCAGTGGGAACTGAAAGCAGAGAAAGATAGAGAGAGAGGAAGAAGGAGGAGGAGGAGGAGGAGGAGGAGGAGGAGGAGGAGAGGGCAGGGGCCAGCAGAAACTGTCTAGCCTGGTGGTCAGGTATGTACAATGTAGGCTCCTGACCTGGGCTTTTCAGGAATTGAATTCGAACTGAATTCCCCTTTAAAGTTGGTTTTTCTTGTTTAAATTATTTTATGTGTATGGGTGTTTAGCCTGCATGTATGTCTGTGACCTCCTGTGTGCCTGGTACCAGTGGAGGCCAGAAGAGGATGGTAGATCCCCTGGAAATGACCGTGAGGTGCCAAATGGGTGCTGGAAATTAAACCTGAGTCCTCTGAAAACAACTAAGGCTCTTAACCCCGGAGTCACCTCTCCAGTCCCCCGAATTTCTTTTTGATCTCATTGTTGTATTTGTTTTAGTTTTGAGACAGGGTTTTGCTAGCCCTAGCTAGCTCTGGTAGTTGCTGCGTAGTCCAGACTGGCTTCAAATTCAGGCAACCCTCCTGCTTCAGCCTCCTGAGTGCTGGGGTCACTGTTACCTTCTGTCCTCCTAGTTGCATCAATGAAAAATTTTTCGCACAGCAAAAATTCTTTTTTAATTTAAAACAGATTTCTTTTCCTTTTTACTTAAGCGTATTTGTGTGTGTTTCAGAGTCTACAGAAATCAGAAGAGAGCATCGGATCGCTGGGAGCTTGAATGTGAGCAATGGGAGTCACTCCACATCGCTGCTGGGAATCAAGCTGGGGTTTTCTGCAAGAACAGCAAGAGCTCTTAGTAGCTGAGCAGTCTCTCCAACACCAAGGAAAACCCTTTTTAAACAAAGATTAGCGTTGTTGGGGGCGTTCACCAGAGAAGACGGCTTGTACATGGGTTTAAGCCAATAGAAAGTCTTTATTAGCTGGCCAGTGACTACACTGGGTGTCCGGGATCCCGGTGTAGTCACGAACCTTTCTCCGGGTGAGATTTTAAGCACAAAAACCATGTCCTGGGTCAACACACTTCAGTTAATGAGAACGGTTAGCCAGAAGCGGAACTAGAGAAGCCAAAAAGCAAGGTCAATACGTTTAGAGACTTTCCCAGGACTATAGATTTTGATAGATTAGACCTTTGTTTTAGGTTTTTCAGGTGGTGGTGTCTACATGCTGGGTTTCACAGCACCTCCATCATGGAGTCAGTTCCATTCCCTTCTAGTCTTAGTGGATGAGTCAAATCTTGGACCCATCCTGCCCTGAAGAGGTGTGGTTGGTCTTAGGAGCACTACTTTACTGAACTGATACATAATTAAACATACAGTTTAAGATTCAGGAACATACCCTTAATCCAATCAGAATGAATTAAAGGCACAGTCAGGGCTGATAGCCAGGAGAACCAAAAGAAAAGAGATTTGTATCAATTATAGGTCTCTCTCTCTCTCTCTCTCTCTCTTTCTCTCTCTCTCCTAATCATTGCAAGATTTTCAATTACTCCTGATCAATTAGCATATAAACAAAAGCTTTTTTCCCCAAAGGCAGATAGTTTCCTTTATTTCGTGAGAAGTCGTCTTTTCAATTTTGTAGAATCATTCCTGCAAGGGAATCTAACTGCTGTTTTACTACCTCTAGGTCCTGACCAACCTGCCTACTTAGTTTGGAAAGCATCAGGAAATGCACATTTAGTCAAACCATGGGTGCATGCCTACCAACCCGTCTAAGATGCCCGGTAAAATTGCTGTTGTCCAGATGAGTTAACCCATAAGTCAGAATAGCAGGTGTCAGAATGAGAGGACGTGCCTATGCTAAAGTTTGGATAGAAAATAATCGCACCCCCATATTCATCCTCGATCACTAATTGGGCTGCCCCCATTACAGTGAGTTTTGTCAGTTAATGGGCTGACAGTCTGGTTAGTTCCTATAGTGGCTGACTGTCTAGGCATAACCAGCACGTGGCCAATCTCTGCCTGGGAATGGTTAATTCTATCCCCGGGGTCCCTTCATGTGACATAGAGTCTGATTCCCTAGGTTTCCCCAGTTTCCCAAAGCTAGACTATTTTTTAAGGAATTTCCAGATTTTAAGTGTATGCTATTTTAAGTTTAAGCTACTGGCTTACATTTTCCTACTGTGCATTTCTGGGGGAGGGGGGAGCACACTTTCTTTCTATACACTCATTCATGTGTTTTAGGAAGCCTCTGTTTTATGACCACAATTTTTGCAATGGAAATTCTCTTATTTTTGGCAACTAGAGTGCCTGGCTGCAGGACATGCATATGTAAACTCTGTATTCTTATCTCAAAAGATAAACTCCCACACCTTTCCTTTTTTAAAGTAGACACCAGTAAGTAAAGGTCAAGATGGAATATGGGTTACTGGTCTGTAGCCACATTAGCTAATATGTTCCCTGTATCTGTCTTTCTCAGTTTCCAGTCCAGGCCTGAGGGCTGGGGGGTGGGCTCAAGATTCTGCATTCACATAATAGTGTAAAACATAAGACTCAGGGGGAGGTAGAGGGTTAGGGAGTAGAAGGGCCCAGGGCCCAATGAAACCTTAATTTCATTGGGTCTACAGTTCAAAGACAATCTATTTGGCAGCAGTATCTGTGGCTTCCATTTTCTTGACCTAGGTGAGGCGGATCCATGGCGGAATGGCAGCTACCTTCCTGCCACAGGAATGGAGAGAATCACCTTATGAAGTCCCTTCCAGATGAGCTTCAGTGCCCATTTGGCCACTTGCTTGACCCGGAACTCGAACAAGGGGAACCTGGTGGTGGACTCAGAGGTCAGCCGTCCTCTCAGACATTCCACTGAACAGTCTGCATGGAGAACTGGAGGGCCTATAATGACTGGGAAAGGAATGCTTAGAGAAGTCTGCCAGCTGCTGTCTCTGAGCCTGGGGAGCAGCGGGGGAGGTCTTCCAAACATAATTACATAGCCGTGTAAATCCCTCCCCCTATGGGGTGCAGTGGACCCAAAGCAAAGGAAGGAGGTCTATCTTTCCTTTTCTGGACTCTAAGGAGAGTTTTGTTGGAGTTTCTTTTAACGTCCTGTTTATTCTTTTTACCTGGCCAGAACTCTGGGGTCTATATGCACAATAAAGTTTTCAATCTACATCTAAAGCTTGAGAGGTTTTGGTTGTAAAAGCTAGGCCATTGTTGGATCTCATTGCTAGGAGAAGGCCAAATCAGGCAACAAGTTCCTGGAGGAGCTATTTAGCTACTATTTGACCAGTTCAGTCTGTTCAAATGCTTCTCCCCACCCTGAAAAGCAATCTATAAGAACTAGCAAGTACTTTTATCCTCTCCCAACAGGTTGGATATTGGTTAAGCCAGTTTCCCAGAGTTTGACAGGGTCTTGGTCACTCATTTGGACCCCTCCTTAGGTAAGGGCTCTCTGTTTTGGATTCACTTGAGCACAAACCTGGCATCTGGCTGAGACATCCAGCACTAGGCTATCCAGTCTGGGTATAACACACCTTGATCTGAGCAATTCAGAAAGTTGTATTGGCCCCAGATGAGCAGCCTGGGGAAGGTCAGTTACCAGAGTCCTGCCAGCTGTTTCTGGGAGAATTATCTTTCCCTCTGGGGTCCTCCATCAGCTTGTGGGGTCGAGCTGTCCATTTCTTCTTTACCATGAGTCTCAGGCAGCACTGGGTTGTGGTGTATCATCAGAACATCAATAGACCCCACTGGTCTTAGAGCCTTATGTTGACCAGTCAGGTCATCAGCCTGGCAGTGGAAGACAGCAATTTGTAGGAGAAGCCAAATAGCCTCGATGAGGCCAAGACTTTTTACAAGTCCCTTTTCCAGCAGTGAGAAGCCCTCTTCTTGTCTATCATCCATGGACATGCATGGTAGTAAAAGCATAGCCATTGTCTGTGTCTATGGCGGTGGACTTCCTTTTCCCCATCTGAGAGCGTGAATCAGACCAATCAGCTCTGTTCTCTGGGCTCGTGAGGTATCTGGCTTGGACCCAAATCGTTTTGGATAAAGTAACTGCTGCTGTTCCCATGTACCTGTCTTCATTTTTTTGTCTTGTGACAGTCATGGGTGAGCACTTGTGGGTCATCAGCAGGCAAGAATGCAGCAGGATTGAAGACAATGAGTTTCTCAAACTGGTCTCGAGGCTAGAATAGGGCCTGGTACTGACACACATAGGCGTTAGACAGCCAGCACTGTGTTCCTGAAGGAGAACCCTAACCTTATTGTGGGGTGCTGAGAGTATAGGAGCTTGACCCAGAGTTAATTAATTAATTCATTTATTTATTTCTCTTCTTTCTTTCTTCTTCCTTCCTTCCTTTCTTTTTTTCTTTCTTTCTTCTTCATTAAACTAGCAGTAACCACCATAGCTCTAAGACGGGTTGGGCCATCCTACTGCTACAGGGTCCAAGTGTTTGGACAGGTATGTCTCAGGGC